CTGCTGCCTTGCTTGCTTAAGAGCTCTGAGCTGCCTAGCCTGTCTGCCCACCCTTCTCACCACCCCTCGGCCCCCCCCCCCCACAGGCCCCCTCTCCTGCTGCCTGCTCACCCTCTTGCCTTTTCCCATCATGTGGTCTTCCTCTTCCTCATTCTTTCTCTTTGGGCTTCTCTCTTTCCCTTCTCTGGCAGGCACTGCCTCTCTGTCATAAATTCCTACTTTCACTGCTCTGGGCATTCACGTTTCTCCATGGAAAGCTGAGTCCCTCTGTCCCGAGGTTCCTGCGTCCTATAACAACTTTCCTCTGAGAGGGAGCAAGGGTTTGGGCAGCCTGGCTGAGGAGGTGACTGGCCAGGAAGGAGGGGCCCGGAGTAGGAACCTGAGAAGCTCCTGTGAAGTAACTTCCATTGTGACCGTGAGTCACGATCTTTCGTGGGAACCTGAGAAGCTCCTGTGAAGTAACTTCCATTGTGACCGTGGGTCACGATCTTTCTGGTAGTGAATGGAAAAGATCAGTGTCTTTACTGTTGACTTAGGTGAGGACAGCAACCTATGGAAAAGTGCTTTTTGGCACATCAAATAGAGATTAGTGGGGCTCCTGACCCTGTCTGTCTGCCTTCCCCTCCAGGCTCATGGCTCCTCCAGGGTCAGACCCATGTTTAGCCACCAGCATGTCCCTACTCTCCAGAATGGGGCTGGCACCCAGGGGGTGTGAACCTCAGCCAGCTGGTTGGACGGAGGAATGAACAGTTTGGGAAATAGGGAGAGGAAGCAGGTGAAGAGTCTGGAGCTGGCGGGGAGGCACTGGCAGCCCGGACTCTGATGCGGCTATTCCTTGGCTTAGCTTGTCTTGGCACGGGGATGGCTCAGGTGCACGGTGGGGCTCTGAGGTTTGCTGGCAGCAGTGGAGGAAGCCGAAGGAACAGGGCTTTGGTCAACCTCGGCGTCACCTCTCGCTGGTGGTGTGTCCCTGGGCCAGTCTCTCAGCCTTTCTCAGCCTCCATCTTCAGCTCTCAAAGAGGAACTTCTGTTAGTAGGGCCTTTGCTCTTGACTTGCGTGCCATCCTCACACGTCCTTCCAGATGTGAGTCTGTCTCTACTCCGTTTTATTGTGAGAAATCTGAGGCCCGGGAGGGCACGCAACTCACCCAGAGTCACACAGTTGTTAAGTGACAGAGGTGGGATTTGAACCCAGGTCTGTCTGAATCCTGTGCCTGTGACCTTGACCACTAGGCCATACCATCTCTGGGATGGACACCGAGAGGGGTCAGTGAGACGTGTATGAAGTGTGCCAGCACGTGGCCACCTTGAGAGTTGTCGGCTGGATGTGTCTTGCTCTGAACCTGAGTCCCCACCCTCTGGCTGGCTCATGCAGCAGGGACCCTTGCACAGGGAACCATCAATCCCTTGGCCTTTGACAGTTGCCTCCAGTTCCCCAGCATGCCGGTCCTGGGGCAGAATAGATGTGGCTGCTCCCTGAGGAGTGTGTGACCAGGTGGGGCAGACGAAGGAAAATGATGGGCATTGGGGACTGTCTGGAAGCCTTGGGTGGGGCTGGACCAATCCCAGGAGCAGCTAGGGGAGGGCACCCAGGTGGAAGGGTCAGCTGTGCAGAAACCCAGGCCTGCAGGGTATGGGATGTGGTGGGTGCCAGAAGAGGCGGTGGTGCCCTATGGGCTGGAGTGGTGTGGTGTGGGCGATGGAGTGGGCCATTGCAGATTTCTGCCCTCTGCAATCCTGCTGCCTTCAGACCCAGATCTGGCCTGGGGCATCTGCGTATGCTTTTGCAGGGTGGCAAGAGGAGGAAGCCAGGGAGGCAAAAGCCACTCAGGAAGCGATGAGAAAATTGCCCAACAGGGCCTGTAAGTGTAGGCTGGGCCCGGAGCATGGCCAGCACTTGGCTCTTGGGTGAAGAAGGCCCACAGCCTGTTTCCACGAGTTTGAAGCCTGCTCCATCTGTTAGAAGCAGCCAGGAACAAGCTTCCCCGTTCTGCCTCCTGTAGCTGGGTGCTGAGACAGGAGGACAAATGCCATTTCTTCCGAGGTCCCAGAGTGCTCTCCCCACTTTAGATCTGGCCCCTCCAGACTTAACCCCAGACTGGGCCAGGTCCCCACACCATAGATAGTCATGGGATATGGGGAGAAAGGACAGAGAGATGACGCTGGCCCCCAAGGGGCAGGTGAGGCAGCAGAGGGCATTCTTGCTATGAAGGAGGGTTACAGCCCACTGGCCAGGCTGGAGGGACCCCCCGCCCTGCAGCAGAGGGAGCCATGGACACTGGAGCGGCTTGGCCTGGGCAGGAAAGGCTAGGAGGCTGGGTTGAGGGTATGAGAAGGAGGCAGAGCCCTGGGGACGGGTTAAAAGGCCTCCACAGAGTTGGAGCTGTGGGTGTAGAGAGCAGGGGCAGGTAAGGTAAGGGCAGAGGCCCAGCTGGGGTGCTGGAAGGGAAGGGAGGATGAGCAGGTCTTGGACCAGGGGATCCTCAGGGCTGAGGCAGGCAGAGTCCAGGGACACTCCAGGGGCCCCCTGACGTCACACCTGCCTGTTTGGGATGGAAAAGTCATGCTAAGGGGATGTCAGGGAACAGGTGGGGAAGTGCGTGTGGCTTTGCTATGGCAACCAGACTTATTTCTATAGGATTTGGCAGCCTGGCCTGGGCTTGGGCCGGGGGTCCGAGGCAGGGGCTGACCCAGGGGCTGGGTGGTGTCCAGCTCTGTTATTCCAGAGGCTGCGATTGGAGCTCTGGCCACAGTCCAGCCAGCTGGCCACCCACAGCTCCTTGGCAGCTCTGGAGCCATCCCAGGCTCCAGCCAGGGCCATCACAGGCCTGATGGGGCTCCCAAGGCGGACCCACCCCCTTGCTGGCTCAGCACATGTTGTTCAGGTGACCCCCTCCCCCTGTACCCCGCCTGTCATTGCTGGAGGAGCTGCTTTGGGGCTGGGTTTGGCCCTAGCAGGGAGCTGCATCTGGAGACCCCCTTTCCCCGACTCCAGCATGGCCCGCCTGGGCTACCCACTCCACTGCTGCCAGCCACAGGGTCCAAATGGACGGGGACCCCAGCCATACCTGCCCCAGGTCCCTTCTGGGTGTGTGCCAAGGGAAAAGGGGTGGGGACCTGTGTCCCACATCCTCTGAAGGTGATGTCCCAGCAGATGTCCTGTTGTAGGACTCCAAGCCAAGCTGGGCCTTGGGCTCCCTCCTGGGGGTGGCCTGGGGAGGGGTTCCCAAGGGAGCCGGCCTCACCCTCCTGTTCAGGCTGCTTAGTGAAGGGGTGGCATGGGACTTTCCATGGGCAGGGGAAGAAAACCTCCTGTTCTTTTTTGGGTAGTGAGTGCCCCCCAGGGCCCCAGGAGTCCCTTGGATATGGACAAAGACCCCTGAGCCTTGGCCCCAGACTTATGTGAGGTGCCCCTGCATTGGCCCAGGGTGGAGGGGATGGTGGGGCGGAGACTAGCAGAGAGACCACCCTGCCCTGTTTGCACCTGCTTGCCCCACCCCGCCGGACCTGAGCACCCTGGGTCAGTCACACTTGCCAACTGGCCTTACCTAAGGTGGGCAGCCCTGTTTCTTTCAGGACCTTTTCTCTTTGAAAGAGAATTCCCTGGTCCTGGTGGTACCTACCCTGGGCTCCACAGACAAGCAGGGGGTCCTTGGAATCATCCTGGTAGGGCCTTAGAAGGGAGGGGCAAGGGAACAGATAGGGAAAGGGGAAAGCCCTTTCTCAGCTCCCAGCCTGCCCCCATGCTTTTCTGGGTTTGGGAGGAGGGTACCACCCCCGTGGAAGGCTGCTTCCCCACCAGCACTGGGAGCCTGCAGGCAGGAGAGGCCAGGCTTCAGGCTTCTGGGGGTGCAGAGGACCACTGAAAATTCCTGCTCTGGTGGGCAGCTTCCTGCCCGCCTGAGAGCCTCAGTGGCCTGTGGGTTGGGGAGGAGGTGCTCCCACTCTGGGGGCCAGGGCACACCCCCCCAGGACTGCTGGGCCCTGCCTCCTCATCATCCCAGCCAGCAGGGTGCTGAGCTGGTTGAGCTTCTGGGTTTCCGACTGCAGGGTGCCCTCCCAGCCGCCTGGGTTATTGCAAAATTGGGCCCCTGGGGGTCAGGGCTTCCCGGGCTTCGGGCATCTTGCTCAATTCCAAGATGCCGTGGGTTGTCACGTTTCCGGCAGGGCACACAGGTGGGGTTGCACCCCTGGTGCCTGGCCGGGGCTGAACACTGAACCCATGTGAATTGCCAAGCAGGTCCCCCTTCCCCGCTCAGCCTGGCTCTCGGCTCTCTTGTACCCCGCTGCCAGTTGTGTGTCGCTGCTGCAGCCTAGCCGCTATTGGCCGTCCAGGACTTTCCGGCTGATTTGCACGTTGCCCTGCATGCCTTTCTGTTTACCTCACTTCAGAGGGAGGGAGAAGCCAGATGCTTGCTCTCCCAGACTTTGAGGGCCGGTGGGCTGGCAGCGGTCCCTGGGGGAGTGCTGGGGTCCAGGCTGCCTGGGCCCTGGCATTACCCACTGGAGCTTGCAGCTGGCCTCATGGCCCTGAAGCATGCAGTGGAGAGAGCAGATGGATTTGTAAAATCCAGGTCAGTGTCTTCTAGCGGCCTCCCTGTGATTGCCCCCACCCTCCACGTGGGCCAGCAGCAGTAGCCAACCTCTGGTTTTCCAAAAAGGCTGCACCTTTTGTGTTGATGGGACAAGTCCTGGAGCCCCCAGGTTCAGGCCGTCTGGGCCTCTCCCCAACCAGGGTGCCCTCACCCAAGCAGGGTGACATGCCGGGCCCCTGGCCAGTCCTCTGGTCCTTCTCACTTGGCGAGACCAATAGTGGCGCTGGAGGGGCAGACACATGCTGGAGCAGAGCAGGGCTTCCAGATGTGCCATTTCCACCTTGGCCCAGGGCCACTGCCTCTGAGTCGGCTGCAGGTGCCTGGCAGTGCCTGCTCTCAGGAGCCCCTGCTGCTCCCTGGTGTGGGGCACACAGAGCCAAGCCCTGGAGTTGCAATTGGGCCTGGGGTATCTGGTGGGTGGCCTCTGTTTGGAGTCTGTCCCAGCTCCCTGTTGAGGCTGGTGCTGGGGGATGGTGAGTGGGTGCTATGGAGCCGTGTGTGTGCACTGGGGGGTGCGGGGCAGGAGGAAGGAGGCTTTGGCTAAGCTCTTAGGACCCATAGGGTGCTCAGAGTGAGGTGTCACATGGCAGTGCCAACTGCAGGGGCTGAGAGCAGCCCCTCATGGGGCAGCTGTGGGGTTGAGGCCTGTGTCCTCAGGGCTGAGTGGATCCATGGCAGGGTGGGTGGCATTGCAGGGGTCATTTGAAGGGGCAGTGGCGCCTGGGCAGTGCAGGGAGAGAGGGACAAGGAGACTCAGGGGTGGCAAGGGCTCAAGAGCCAGCCTCTCCCTGCAGACCTGTGGGCTGGCCTGGGGAACTCCAGGTCATGCTGTGTGGCCATGGTGGTGGGTGGTCAGTGCCGTCCTGAAGGCACATGTGCGCAGGGCAGACATCATCAGAGGGCTGGGTCAGGCGGGTTGCAGTGCTGCCTTGGTGCTGTGCTGCCGCCAGGTTGGGGCAGAGACCATCTCTCCTACCTCCTCAGCGCATTCCTCCAGACCCTCTGGGGTGCGTGTGCTCTTCTGCCCCTTCTCAGTCCCACGGAGCCTTGGCAAACAGCCATGTCACCCTGAGATGAGATCAGAGCCATTGGGTGGCTGCCTGCTGCTGTGCCACCCCCGGGAGCAAGCCTGCCATGGCGGGCGTCACGGGCACTGCACAGTGGCCTCCTGTGGTGGAGAGTGCATGTGGGAGTCCGGGACACATGGCCTTTCTCCCTGAGGGGAGCTGGGCTTCAAGCCGGGGCTTTGGGGCTCTACCCAAGGCTGACTCTACTGTGCTGGGAGACAGTGCCATCCATCCCAGCCTCGCTGTGGGGGCTCCCGGCATACAGACTGCTTAGGAGGGGTGCCTGTGACGAGGGCTGGGGCCCCGAAGGACATGTGGCTGGGCTGCCACAGGGCAAACGTCATCTTAGTGGTGGACAGTGCCATCCTGGGACCTGTTCTGGATGTGAGCTGCTGGCTGGGTGTCTTCTATCTAATCTTTCTTCTTCTGCAGGCGTCCTGGGCCTGGCCAGCACTTTCAGGGCCCATTGAGGGGCTGGGCTTTCCAGGCAGTCTCTCCGGGAAGGGTGGGGTCGTTGGTGGCCAGGGATGATTCCCAATGCCTTCTCCCTGCCACCCCAGCCCATGAGCCCAGGTGGCACAGTTGGGGGTGTGGGTGACCTGTACAGGGTCAAGAGTTGGGCCTCTTGTGGCTTTCTCTATGTGACATGGATTGCATGGATTTGGGCTCTGGTTACTTCACCTCACGGTTCTCTCTTTGATGTGTGGCTAGTGTACCTGCCATCCTGCAGGCTGGGGCTGGCCAGGTCCTGACAGCATCTGCTGTGGCAGGAAGCACTCATCTTGCCTTGGCTAGTCCTCATGTGACTGGGTCCTGCCGTGCGTGCGCCACCCTGGCCCCATGGGCTGGCAGAGACACCCACGAGGCCCAGCCTGGGCCCCAGAGACATCTGGCCTGCGGAGGGGTGGGCCTGAAAGTGACTGCCTGTGACTCAGGACCCAGAGGAGCAGACAGAGCACAGATGGGGGTCTCTCCACCTTTGGGGCGGAGGTGGATGGGCCCTTCAGAAGGGCTAAGGCTTGAGGGATGGTAACACTGAGGACCAGCTGCCCCTTGGTCCTGTGCATGCCCAGGACTGGAGAGGGCAGAAGGGACTTTGCCTACCATGGACTTGCCTGAGTTGGGGAAAGAGGCTGCAGCATGCCCTGTTGGTGACTGGCCAGAGCACCTGCCGAGTGGAGCAGCCTGGCTGACCGGTGGGGACTGGGCTGCTGTCCCTAAAGCCCCTCATTTGTGCCCTACCCACAGGGGATGCTGCCCGAGGACCCTAGCCGCCTCTCTAGAGCATGAGCTCAGGCAAGAGTGCCCGCTACAACCGTTTCTCCGGGGGCCCCGCCAGTCTTCCCTCCCCAGACATCACCACCGGGGTAAGGGGCACTTGAGGGAAAGGCCTGCCCTCTTTGCACACCCCACATACCCAGGGCCCCTGTGCACTCCAGTAACTTGGCACTGACTTCCTAGCTTCCCCTCCCTGCCTGGAGGGTCCCACAGGACAGCTGTGTGATGTATGTGTGTCATTGGTGTAACCAGGACACACATGTGCCTGGCCCATTAGCATTTCAGCATGTGGGTGCATGTCCACGGGTGCATGTCCACTTCCTCTCCAGGGATAAGGCCAAGTCTCCTTTGTTCTCCCTCCAGACCAGAATGGAAACGACCTTTGGGCCCGCCTTTTCGGCCGTCACCACCATCACAAAAGGTGAGCCTGTGCGCCCAGGCCAGCCCTGGCTGGGAACAATCTGGGCATCCCCATCCCATCCTACCAAGGCCTGAGGGGCATATTGTGGCAGAGCGGGTGCTGGGCACTGTTGTTGGAGAACTTTTCTCAGCACTGGCCCTTACCCGGCTGGGCAGGAGGTAGGTTGGCCTGCCGCCTGTGCCTCGGCTTCTGTGTACATGTCCCCCACCCCCAGTGCTGCCCTGGCCCTCCTTCCCGTCACCTTGCCTGGTACCTCCCCGACATCCCCACACACACCTGTCTCTGGTTGCAGTGACCCCCTGGCTTGTCCCTGGCCCCAGGCTCCTAGCCAGCCTCCAAAATGTCATGGGTGCTTCTGGTGTCCTTTCTTGAGTTAGGTCCGACAGGCTCAGCGCAGCGCTGTGCGTTCAGGGGTCAGGAGGTGGCAGCAGGCAGGGTCCAGCCTATGCGCAAAGGTGTGAGGACCGGCACCCTCCTTTGGGCACGTGTTCTGGGGCAGAGCTTGTTTGTTTGCATTCTTGGCACTCTGCCCTTGTAGGAGAGCACTGGCTGCTAATTAGCTTTTTAATTGCTTTTCGTGGTTTCCTCTGGGTAGATCTGACCTGGGGTCACCAGGCTGCTGAAGACACCTGCTCACACCAGTGCCTCTTTGCTGCCGGTGACCCCACGGGGCTCCAAAGTGCCCTCTTTTCTTCTTAAATGGCTTTTTTCAGAGGAAAAAAGAAAATAAATATCACCCCAATCCCACCACCCAAGAATTGTTCCTGAACTTCTCAGCTCCCTTTAGAAACCACATAGCCCTGTGTCACACAGGTGAAAGCTCCAGGACAGGGTGATGTGGGCCTGTTGTCCTCTGTTCCTTGGTGGCAGGGATGGGTCAGAGCTGGGTGAAGAGGTACCCATGGTTGCCTCACCTGGCCACTCTCATTACAGACAGGGAAACTGAGGCCCACTTACTGGGCATCCAGTTGAAGCCTGGATCTTAAACCCAAACCTTTGGGGCTGATTGTTGTGATGTCCAAACAGCCACTTCAGGACCTCTGGCTAGGGGGGCAAACCTGCCATTCCCGAGGCTGTCACCTTTAGGGCCCATGAGGTGGCTTTCTCTGGCTCCTGTGTGGACGCTTGACTGGCCCAGACTGAGCTGGGGCGACACGTAGGCAGCAGAGGGGAGGGCATCGCAGCACCTTCCCTGGAGGAGGATGGTACCTGATGCTGGCTGTGCTGGGAGGGGGCAGGAAGACACAGACCACCTGGATGCAGTCCTGCCCCTACTACACACCAGCTGGGGGACCCCAGCCTCTGTGCCTCAGTTTCCTCCTCTGTGAACCAAAGGTATCAGAGAACTCAGCTGGCAGTATTACCTTGAGATTCAAACACGACAAGGTCCCCAGCTCCTGCCAAGTGCCTGTAGGTGTGATTGTTTGGCATTGGCTGTGCCTTGGCTGGGCACCAGCAGCCCTTTGGTGTGATGGGAACCTTGTAGAAGCTCTGAAGGAAGACTCCTCCTGGAGGCAGGCAGGGCGGGGGGCCGACAGTGATGAGGGCAGGAACTTCTGGGCTCAGTGCTAGGACTGTACAGGGCTAGGCCCTGTGGCCACCTCCTGGCACCAGTTTGACCGTGGGAGGCAACCCACACTTCTCTTGCTCCATCCCTGTGCCCTCTGGGCTCTGGGGAGGCCCTATGTCCCACACAGGCTCTGCCTCCCCAGCCAGGCATGGCCTCCACCTCCCATCTGGCACATCTGCAAGGGAGCCCACTGCCCACTGCGGCGCAGTCAGGCCTCCCTGCCGTGGCCCACGGTCATGGCGTCTGGCCCTTCTTTTCTTGGCAGCTGATGGGACCAACACATACAAACAGCACCGCAGGACACCCTCCTCCTCCAGCACTCTTGCCTACTCCCCACGGGACGAAGAGGACAGCATGGTATGTCCCCTCCCTGCAGGAGCCCAGTGTGAGCCTAAGCTTCCCCCCATGTCATGCATCCCATGGGACTAGGTCCCAGGTGGAGCTGACGTCGAACTGGTAAGACAGAAGGGAGGGAAGAGCATGCCGGCAGAGGGAACAGCATGTGTGGACACCCTGAGGACTGAGCACACGGGGTGAGTTCACAAGACTAAAAGGAGGCCCCTGTGGGTGGACTGTGGGTGGCAGAAGGCAGCCAGCGAGGGTGGCTGGACCGGAAGGTGTGGCACCTGCAGATCAGGATGAGGCACGTTTGGCTGCTTCTTAAGGGAGGTGGGAGCCACAGGAGGTTCAATCAGGAGGGTAACAAGATAAAACCCATATTCTGAAAGCTTCCTGTGTTACTAATTAGAGAATGAGTGAGGTTGCTAGGTAGAGGTAGGGGGTCGATGAGGGGAAACGGGCCACAGCAGGTGAGGAAAGGCCTGTAGCCCCAAGCCGGGGCTCAGCAGAGGCAACAGGGGCCTGCAAGGCCGGGGCTGTGTGCCGGGGGGGTGGGGAGGGCAGAGAACATCCTGTTGCTGGCTTTGTGGAGTGAGGAAGGGGTTCAGGACAGTCAGGGGCTGGCTGTTGGTGCCGGAGCCCTGTGGCCAGGGTCATGGTGGCCATTCCCTGCCAGCCTGGTCACTGGCATTCATCACTGGGCTCCAGGCCTGCCAGGGAAACAGAGGCCAACCCCAGCTGGACGGAGGCCTCTGGCATAGGGACTGGTCCGGCCAGCACAGCAGGGCACTCGCTGCCTCCTCTCTGCCTCACCTCTGCCTTACCTCAGCTGGGTCTCCTCGCGGTGGACCCCACTGGCCCCCCATCCCTCCCAGCCTTTCTCAGGGCCCAGGCTTCTTGTGCTCAGCTGCTTGGCCTGCTTTTTACTTCTTAATAGGAAGAACATGATGTTTTTAATTAATTGAATCAACAGACTTGTTGTGTGCCAGGCACTGCACTAGGCTCTGAGGACAAGTCATATATGTCCGTGCCTGCCCCTTGGGCTTCTGCCTGCCTCAGTCTCCACAACCTCTGACCCACCCGGCTGGCCTTGAAGGAAGTGGATTCACCGTGCCCGTGGTTTCATGTAATCACTGAGCACCCATGGGGTTGGGGTGGCTTTAAGAGGTGTGAGCACCTCTTCTGTTTGCTCTTGGGCCCCACAGGCAGCCCCTGCCTGCCCCACAGTGGGGTGGCTGGCCCTCTTCCTGCACCCCCCCGCCCCAGGCCTGGCCACCATCAACCCTGGGAGGAGCAGCCGGGTGGGCAGGGAGAGTGGAGCCCAGTCAGCTCCGTGGGGCCTGCTCTCACTCTGGCTTTCCATCATTGCCGCCCCGGGGGTGTTTTGACACTTCCTCTGACTGCCCCCTCTGCTCCTCCTCATGTGGTCCTTCCATGCAGACAGGCCATGTGGGACACCATGGAGGGAGGCGGGCACTGCCCCAGTGAGAGATGCATGTCTGTGGGCATGCAGGACACTGCGCTGGGACAGGGCGTGGCCTGTAGTGTGGTCTGCTGCTTCCCAAAGCTTGTGGCTCCTGAACAAGGCTGCTGGCTTCTGTCAGAGCGCCGGAGAGAGGAGCACGGGGACGATGGCTCTTGGAAACTTCTTACAGATGTTTCCAAGCCCAGAGGGGAGGAGGGGATAGTGCCTTCCCCCTCCCCCGGGACTACCCCAAGTCCCGTCAGGTGGCCCAGGCAGAGGCAGGCACCTTTGCCTCTCTCCTGCTGCTCCCAGGATCTCAGCCAGGGTTCAGTGGGGGGCTGTCCCTGCCCTCCCATGAGCCTCCCTGTCTCAGCCTAGTGTCTCCTGCCAGGTTGGTCAGGCAGGCAACTGAGCCCAGCAGCCTCTCCCCAGCCAGCCATCCATTCCCTTCCGTCCAGCAGTCCGGGGCTCTTGGCTGCCCCAGGATTGGCTGGTGGAGGTGCCCCTTCTGCGGCTCACATTCCCTCGCGGGAAGCAGGAAGCAGCCCGAGTGTGTCCTCGTAGAATTGAATAGCAGGAAGTCTCTCTGTGCTCACAAAGAAAGCTGGCAGACGTGAGCGGGCAGCCCACACCAGGGGCCGGGGCCAGTCCGGGCAGCAGGCGGGTGGGTGGGGGACCTGGCCACTGCTCTGGATCCCCACGCACACACTTTGGCCCCTGGGGGCCCCTAGGGCACCGTGTCCTCCACCACTCAGGCCCTGTGGGGAGCACCCTGACAGGCCGCCTCTCTCTGCACGCAGCCCCCCATCAGCACGCCCCGCCGCTCCGACTCGGCCATCTCCGTCCGCTCTCTGCACTCCGAGTCCAGCATGTCCCTGCGCTCCACGTTTTCACTGCCTGAGGAGGAGGAGGAGCCGGTAGGTGTGAGGGGCTCAGTGCAGAGGGTCTTGGAGGGGCTGTCACTGAGCTGCAGCGGTGTGGGGATACCTTCCCGTTGGGCCATGTCAGTCCAGCTCAGTGAGAGGCTGGATTGGCATGGCCAGGGCCTCCAGTCCTCGCTGGTCCCTGTTGGAGACTAGAGGGGCCAGGCCAGGGGCCCCAGGTACATTCTCCCCACTCCCCATCTCAGGCTGCCTGATAGGACAAGTGATAGGAATTGAAGGTAGGCTCAGGCAGGGCCCTTTCTAGTTTCATCCCAGGAAGAGCAGCAGGTGAGGAGGTGCAGCTGGATGTGTTCATCCTGCCGGGGCCCTGCCTCTGGGGCCATGCCTCTACCCCCCACTTCCCATCCTCAACCTCTGGCAGGGCCCCCTGGGCCTCAGCAAGCCCCTCTCAAGACATGCCTCAGCTGAGGTCAGCCCCAGGCCTGCGGGGGAGGGGCTGGGTGCCCCAGATGGTGGTGTGACTGAGGGTGGCCTCCCTGTGTCGGCATCTGCTCCACCCTCACCCCCTTTACCCTGCTGGGTTCTAGGAGCCACTGGTGTTTGCCGAGCAGCCCTCAGTGAAGCTGTGCTGCCAGCTGTGCTGCAGCGTGTTCAAGGACCCCGTGATCACCACGTGTGGGGTGAGGCCACCTGCCCCTAGGACCCCTGCCCTCCACCCGCCCACCCAAGGCTGTGGGAAGCAGCCCTCACAGCTTACACTAGAGCTTCAGAAGCTGGGTGGCTGCTGGCCCCTTTCAGGTGGAGCCTTGGCCCTGGCCACAGGCCTGGTCTGGCTGCCCAGCAGGTGCCCTCTGCAGGGAGCACAGGGCAGGGGCGAAGCCTTGGGCTGCTGTTTGCCCTGGACGTGGGGTGAAGACTCTACAGACATCCCCCAAATCTACCCTTTGTCTCCACAGCACACATTCTGCAGAAGATGCGCCTTGAAGTCAGGTAGGTCCCTCCCTCCCAGGCCAGGCGCAGCACTGAGTGTGGCCCTGGCTGCTGAGCAGAGGCCGGTGGCTTCTCCCTTGTCCTGCGCACAGTGTCCAGGCACATTGGGACAGTGCTGTTGGCTGCCAGTGGTAAGGTTGCCAAGCAGCAGTGACCTCTGGGGGGCGCACAGCTAAAGCTTAGTACCTCAACACACGGTGCAGTGAGACCCAGAGCTCCCAGTCTCTCCAGACTCAGAGCCCTCCCTGTGGCAGGTTTGGCAGGGGCCTTCCGGGGTCAGTGCTGTGCTCTCTGTCAGAGGCTGTCCCCACCATTAAGGGTGTTGTCCTGCAGCAGCATCTGCTTCTGCCCACCTTTGCAGCCAGCCCGACCCTACTCTGTCCCCCAACCCTCTTGGCCCTGCACCAGACTTTCCCAGGGTCAGTGAGAGGCCTCCATCACCACCTGCTCGTTCTTCTTGGTGGCCCAGCTGTGTACCGCTGTTGTGCCAGGCACCTCAGGGGCAGGTAATGGGTGGACCAGGCTGCTGCCAGAGGCTCAAGCCCACCCAGGTGGGGAGCATGTTCTAGGCCTGCCATTGCTCCCCTCATCTCACCAGGATTCAGTCTCCCTCTGGACAGAACTTCAGGGAAGGGGTGGCCAGGCAGGCTGTGGTGTCAGCATGCTATCCTCCCCCAGAGAAGTGTCCTGTGGACAACGCCAAGCTGACGGTCGTGGTGAACAACATCGCGGTGGCCGAGCAGATTGGGGAACTCTTCATCCATTGCAGGCACGGCTGTCGGGTGGTGGCGGGTGGGAAGCCCACCATCTTCGAGGTGGACCCCCGAGGGTGTCCCTTCACCATCAAGCTCAGTGCCCGGAAGTAAGTACCCCCATGACCCCCAGCCCACCCAGGGGAGGCTGAGTTCTTTTACCCCTCTGGGGGCTCCCTTGTGGGGCCCCAGGCTCAGCACCCTCCCTTGTCTCCCCCCCACCCTACAGGGACCACGAGGGCAGCTGTGACTACAGGCCTGTGCGTTGCCCCAACAACCCCAGCTGCCCTCCCCTCCTCAAGATGAACCTGGAGGCTCACCTCAAAGAGTGCGAGCACATCAAGTGTCCCCACTCCAAGTATGGGTGAGTGGGTGGGGCGGGGTGCATGGCGGGGTGTGGGGTGTAGAGACAGCCCTGCCAGGAGCCACACCACTGACTAATCATAACCCTGGTCCCGTGGCCCAGGAGAGACCCACATAGGGGACTGGCTGGGGGAGCTGGGGGCAGTCAGGAAAGGTGGTGTGGGTCGGGGTGCTTCCCCAGCTGGCTCAGCACAGGCAGATTTGAGTCAATGGCAGGGCTGAGGTGGGGGCTGGAAGAAAAGGAGGAGCCATGCTCTTTGGGTCAGGGAGGCTGATGAGCAGAGTGGGATTTAGTCTCAGAGAGAGAGGAGCCCTGGAAGGGCTTTGAGAGGGCTCCACTATGAAATGGCTGCTGGTTGCTGGATGGGGGAGGATGGGGAGGATGGGCAGAGGGTAGGGTGTGGATGAGGGTGACTGGATCTGGAGTTTGGGAGGCAGAGGAAGAAGACCCACAGAGTGGGCAGGAGGGCAGCTGTCCCTTTCCCCCAGATGCACGTTCATCGGGAACCAAGACACGTACGAAACTCACCTGGAGACATGCCGCTTCGAGGGCCTAAAGGAGTTCCTGCAGCAGACAGACGACCGCTTCCATGAGATGCATGTGGCGCTGGCCCAGAAGGACCAGGAGATCGCCTTCCTGCGCTCCATGCTGGGCAAGCTCTCAGAGAAGATCGACCAGCTGGAGAAGAGTCTCGAGCTCAAGTTTGGTGAGGGCTGCCCCAGAGGGGGCAGGGGTGTGGTACTGTTCCCAGTCCCCATGACACCCTCTTTCCTCCTGCCACTCAGATGTCCTAGATGAAAACCAGAGCAAGCTCAGCGAGGACCTCATGGAGTTCCGGAGGGACGCGTCCATGCTGAATGTGAGCAGGCAGAGGCCGTGGTTCGGGCGAGTCGTAGGAGGGCGGGCACAGGATCGGGCCTCAGTTCGGGCCCCAGCAGAGAGTCCTCCCCCACTGGCCTTTGCCCTCACCTGTCAGGATTAGGGGTCTGTGTTCAGTGAGGGTTGCTGCTGCCCCTGCCCCGCCCCGCCTGGCCCCAGGCCTTGGGTGGCTGTGGAGAGGCTACAGGAGAGGCCTTGGCAGCTCCGCCCACGCCCCACTCCGCTCTTGGCCTTGCAGGATGAGCTGTCCCACATCAATGCACGGCTGAACATGGGCATCCTGGGATGTGAGTACGGGCCCACTGCTTCCCCCACCTGCCACCCCTGAGGCCCCCTGTGGGGTCCCTCACCAGCTTCCCCCATCTCTCTGCAGCCTATGACCCTCAGCAGATCTTCAAGTGCAAAGGAACCTTTGTGGGCCACCAGGGCCCTGTCTGGTGTCTCTGTGTCTACTCCATGGGTGACCTGCTCTTTAGCGGCTCCTCTGACAAGACCATCAAGGTAGGTGGGGTTCCTGCTTCAGGGGCTCTGCAGCCTGGCTGGGCCAAGATGGGCACCACATGCCAGGTTCTGCCACCTCTGGCCTGCCCATTGGTGGGGCTTTCTCCTCAGGGCTGGGTTTCCTCCCCTTGATGGCTCACTTCCTCATTCCTGCCATGCTGCCGCTTGGCACTGGGCTGACCCAACTAGGACCTGCTCTGACCCTGGTCTCTGCAGGTGTGGGACACATGTACCACCTACAAGTGCCAGAAGACACTGGAGGGCCATGACGGCATCGTGCTGGCTCTTTGCATCCAGGGGTGAGTCTGGACTCATGTGTGACCACTGACCGCAGGGGTGGGAGAGCAGTGCTGCCTCCCAGGGGCCATGAGCCATGAGCTGAGCCCATGTAGCTATGTGTCTGCTCTCCATCCTGAGCAGTGCTGGTCTCGTATAGCAGCGTGGGGGTCTCTCCATCTCCAAAGTTATGTGTTCGCAGAGCCTGGCATGGCCAGCCTCCCAACAGAGCCTGGCCCTGGAGCACCTCAGGCGGCCAGAGGACAGAGGTGGGACCATTAGTGGGTGGAGGCAGGAACTCAGCTGTCACTGGCCTTTAGCCACAGCCCTGAACACAGCTCTAGGCATAGGAACCATGGAGCAGCCACCTAGGCCATCACCTCGCCCAGCATGGCCTCTTCCCTCGACCTGCCCTCTGGTCTGGTGTCATGGGGCTGTGTGCCTGTGGGCGCAAGCCTGTGTGAGAGGAGAGATGCTTGCTCACAAGAAGTAGCAGCTTGACTGCCAGCAGCCAGCCCTGGATTGATTCAGCGCTAACAGGTGGTGGGTAATCACCTCCCAGCTCAGCTGTCGGATGCTCTCTAGGCAGGCACCAGGGGGTCGGCCACCACTTCCAAGGTGGGCTTAGGGAAGCAGCAGTGGCCTTGGCACTGAGCCAAGCTTCTGGCTCCTGATGGCCAGCACTGACCTCGGCCCCACCCTGACTCGTTGGCTTTGCCCCCCAGGTGCAAGCTGTACAGCGGCTCTGCAGACTGCTCCATCATCGTGAGTGGGGCTGGGGACAGGTGGGCAGGGAGAGGAGGCCCAGGCCTACGCTCCTCATGCCCCAGGCTCCGGGTGGCAGGGCTAGTGCCCTGAGGCTTCCAGTCCTTCCCCATCAGGTTTGGGACATCCAGAACCTACAGAAGGTGAACACCATCCGGGCCCACGACAACCCAGTGTGCACACTGGTCTCTTCCCACAACATGCTCTTTAGTGGTTCCCTGAAGGCTATCAAGGTACGTGCAAGGGGGCATGGGTGCTTGTATGCATCATGAGGCTCAGACGCCTGATCTGCCTATGCTCATGGCTGTCACCGCAGGTCTGGGACATCGTGGGCACTGAGCTGAAGTTGAAGAAGGAGCTCACTGGCCTCAACCACTGGGTCCGGGCTCTGGTGGCTGCCCAGAGCTACCTGTACAGTGGCTCCTACCAGACAATCAAGGTGAGCCTGAGTCACGCCCTTGGTGGCAGGGCTTTGCCCTCTGCCAGCATGCCCAGCCAGCCCTTGGGGGCTCCGTCTGCCCTGCCTCCACCTTCAACACACCCTAGGGTGGGGCGTGGAGGCACGGTGTCTATGCCCTAGAGGCCCTAGGACCAAGTGGCCCACACTTGCCCATAGATCTGGGACATCCGTACCCTCGACTGCATCCATGTCCTGCAGACGTCTGGCGGCAGTGTCTACTCTATCGCTGTGACGAATCACCACATTGTTTGTGGCACCTATGAGAACCTCATCCACGTAAGGCCCGGGCACGTCGGGGCAGGGCCTGATTCTGGGCCCACCTCTTCCTCTTTTGTTACGTGTCTGTCTCTGATCCGCCTGTGCTCGCCCCCTCCCAGGTGTGGGACATTGAGTCCAAGGAGCAGGTGAGGACCCTAACAGGCCACGTGGGCACTGTGTACGCCCTGGCGGTCATCTCAACACCGGACCAGACCAAAGTTTTCAGTGCATCCTATGACCGGTCCCTCAGGGTCTGGAGTATGGACAACATGATCTGCACACAGACCCTGCTGCGCCACCAGGGCAGTGTGACTGCGTTGGCCGTATCCCGGGGCCGGCTCTTTTCAGGGGCTGTGGACAGCACTGTGAAGGTTAGAGCCTGCAGCTACACAGAATGGAGCAGGGGGTGGGGGCTGAGGAGCTAGCAGCCCCAGGCAAATGGCAGTAGGGGGTAGGTATAGACGACAGGTGTCTTGGGGAAGGATGTCCATGGGGCATCTGAAACAAAGTCCTTTCTTTGCAGGTTTGGACTTGCTAACAGAATCCAGGCCAGGCCGTGGCTTTCTCTGGGCCTGCCTGAGCCACGCTGGCCTCACGGCATGGTCTTGGGGTTTCTGCCTGCCCTGTGGGGACAGGTGGACAAGCCCAGGCAGCCAGGCAGTGCCCTTCATTCCCTGTGCTGGGCAAGCCTCCTTCTACTCGGCCCTGTCCTCGTTGCTGCCAGGACAATGCCCAGGCCCCTCTCTGGGTGCCAGGTACGATGCTCATCCAGTCCACACTCCATTCCGTCCCCCTCCAAGATGGACTGCAGGCCTTTTTACTCACCTTTTCTACTGTTTTTAGACTGTATATAGATTTGATTACTTCCTGATTGAAATAAAAGCTGCACAGACTGTGGCTGTGAGTGGGGACAGGTCCTCGGGCCAGGGGGCTGTGAGTGAACCTGAGGACATTGGTGCACACAGGCCCCAGCAGTGAGTGTGAGGGAGGTGGGGAAGGGGCCACAGAGCAGCTCCTTCTGCCCTGCCCAGGACTGTAGCCCACAGCCCAGTCGGGGACCTTCCCTCTCTGCCAGGAGGAGGCTCGTCACACCTCAGCTTCTGGCTTCCAGTCCTTGCTCCTGCTTTCCTCAACACTCCCCCTGCCAAAAAAGAGCCAGGCAGCTCCATTTTTTGCTGTTTATTGACAGCCAACAGCAGCTCCGTGCCCACAACCCCCTCCCAGCCTGGGCCACCCACTGAGGAGAGGCCATGTGGACGACTGGGCATGTCCACTCACAGGGAAGTGCTGGGCATGACAACTGGAAGGGGCCTCATACGCCAGGAGGCCACCTCAGCTGGCCCCCTCCAACCGCCCTGCACCACAGTCGCTGGTTTTCGGCATTTTTTAAAAATTCTTTTTTTAAGAAATGTCAAAGTTGTGCCCAACACTTGTGGATCAGCAAACACAATAGAGGAGACCAGTCAGTACTTTTTGGAGGAGGGGAGAGAGAGAGAGGAAAAGAGAAGGAGGGTGAGAACGACCACATGACAGCCTCGGACCATGAGCAGAAGTGTCCATGGGAACTCGAGTAGGGTAGGCCAGCTGCCCGTGCAGGGCCAATGTGGGGCCCTGGGAAGGGAGGGTCAGGCGCAGCCTCGCAGGCGGGCCACACAGGCCTGGCATGTACTCCTCTGTGCCCAAACTGCTGCCACTTGGTGGACAGACGCACGATCACCATGCTGCACGCATGGCACACCCTCATACCAGCACCCCCAGGACACGGCCACACCTGGGAGGTTGCCCTTCCCCACAGCTTTCATGGCCCCGGGGAGGTCATAGCCCATCAGCGAGCAAGGCACATCCTTCGAGTTCTTCGGACGCAGAGAAGTTACAAGAGAGAAGAGCAGAGGCCCTGGGCAGAGCACCCTCCCCTCCCCAGACCCAGCCTGTTTGTGCTAGTGGGCCAGAGGCCTGGCCACTCCTGGACGGAGGGAGGGAAGGACAGACAGAAAGATGGCCTGGGCCTCTAACAGCTTTTGTCTCAAGCTAGACTCCAGTGTCCTTTCAGTTGGTAAATGGTTTTCTATAGAATCAATAATATTTTTTTTTCTTTAAATATATATTTGTTAAAGTTATACCTTTTTGTTTCTCTGGGGAAATCTGCCTCAGCTCATTCCCAATAAATTAATACTCTTGATAGCTTATATTCGGGGGGGGGTGCAGGGGGGCTATATTTGTTAAAGTTATACCTTTTTGTTTCTCTGGGGAAATCTGCCTCAGCTCATTCCCAATAAATTAATACTCTTGATAGCTTATATTCGGGGGGGGGGTGCAGGGGGGCCCCGACCTTGACCTCTGTCCTTTGTGCTGCACTGAGCAGCTGGCAGAGGTTCCCCAAAGGGCAGTTCTGTGCTGGGCATAGGCCTGTGCTCTGCCAGATTGGGGAGGGGGCTACAGTGGCCACCACCCTCCCTCTTCCTCCCAGGATGGGCCCAGCCTGGACTCAGGTAGGGGAGGCAATGGCTGCCCTCCTCCACCCGCAGCGGGCAGAGCCCAGCGGGTAGGTGGGCGGGTTGCCCAGTGGTTATTGCACAGGGAGCAGCAGGCAGGGCTGGGCGCCGCGGGCAGCGGCGTATACCCGGAGCCCTCGGAGCCCCGGCCAGGCAGTCCTCCAGGCTCGCGCCCCAGCAGCAACAGGGGCAGGAGTTGTGCTTGTGCAGGGGCTGGGCCGCGCGCCCGTCCACCCGCCCGCAGGGCCCGTCCTGAGGTAAAGGTCAGTGTGCCGGCCGGAGCCCGGGAGGCGCGGGGAGGCGCGGGCGGGCCCAACGTGCGCGGCCGCCTCACTCCAGCATGGCGTCCAGCTGGTCGGCTAGGTCGTCGAACATACTGCCAATGTCGTCCAGGATACTGCCGGTGCTCTTCTCAGCGGCCGCGGGGCTGCGGGCGGGCACGCGTGGGGGGCGGGGCCGGCTCAGGCCACGCCCGCCCAAGCCAAGCCCGCCTATCCCATGCTGCGCGGGGCCTAGTGTGGACCACGCTTCGCACCAGCTCCTCCCACAGGCCACACCCGTCCTCCGGCCCCGCCCTCCTAGCCCCCGCCGCGAGTGGGGCCTAGTGCAGTCCCGCCCCTGATAGGCCCCTCCCACCGCAACAGGCCCCGCCCCTTCCGACTCCGCCTCGCACCTACCTCGGGCTCTGCCCGTCCTCCTGGCGGATCTTTTCCTCCACCGCCTGCAGCGCCGCGGCTAGGCACGCACTCGTCTCCTCCAGTTTCTGCCGGGCGCTGTCCCCAGGCGAGGCGCCCTCGGGCGCAGCGGAGGGCCCGGCGGCGGCGGCGGCGGCGGCGCGCGGG